CCATCTCAAAATAAATAAATAAATAAATAATCAACAAAATGAGAGGTTCATTTTTGGAAAGATACACAAAATCCACAAACCATTAGCTAGACTAACCAAAAAAAAAAAAGAGTGAAAGACCCCCACCAAGAAAACACCAAAAACAAAAAAAAGGAAACATTAAAACTGACATCACAGAAAAACAAAAAATCATTTAGAGACTATGATAACTGCCAACAAAGTAGAAATTGATACATTCTTAGACATATACAATCTACCAAGATTTAACCAAGAAACAGAAAACCTGAACAGACCAATCGCAAGTAATGAGACTGAATCTGTAATAAAAAGCTTCCCATCACAGGGCAGGGTGGCTTACACCTGTAATCCCAGCACTTTGGGAGGCTGAGGTAGGCGGATCACTTGAGGCCAGGAGTTTGAGACCAGCTTGGCCAACATGGTGAAACCTCATCTCTACTAAAAATGCAAAAATTAGTCAGGCGTGGTGGCGGGCACCTGTAATCCCAGCTACTCAGGAGGCTGAGGCAGGAGAATCACTTGAACCTGGGAGGTGGAGGTAGCAGTGAGCCAAGATCATGCCACTGCATTCCAGCCTGGGCAACAGAGCAAGACTCCACCTCAAAAAAAAAAAACAAAACAAAAAACAAAAAAGAAAGGCTAGGTGTGGTGGCTCACTCCTGTAATCCCAGCACTTTGGGAGGCTGAGGTGGGCAGATCACAAGGTCAGGAGATCAAGACCTCGGTAACATGGTGAAACTCCATCTCTACGAAAAATACAAAAATTAGCCGGGTGTGATGGCACGCGCTTGTAGTCCCAGCTACTCGGGAGGCTGAGGTAGGAGAATCACTTGAACCCAGGAGGTGGAGGTTGCACTGAGCCATGCCACTGCTCTCCAGCCTGGGCGACAGAGCAAGACTCTGTTTCAGAAAAACAAAACAAAACAAAACAAAAACAAAAACAAAAAACAACAAAAAAAGAAACGCCAGGACCCAATAGCTTCAATGCAGAATTCTAAAAACATTTAAAGAAGAACTAATACCAAATACAAAAGTATTTGATAAAAGTCAACATCCCTTCATGACAAAAGCTCTCAAAAAGTTAGATACAGGCCGGGCGTGGTGGCTCAAGCCTGTAATCCCAGCACTTTGGGAGGCCGAGGCGGGTGGATCACGAGGTCAAGAGATCGAGACCATCCTGGTCAACACGGTGAAACCCCGTCTCTACTAAAAATACAAAAAATTAGCTGGGCATGGTGGCGTGTGCCTGTAGTCCCAGCTACTCAGGAGGCTGAGGCAGGAGAATTGCCTGAACCCAGGAGGCGGAGGTTGCGGTGAGCCGAGATCGCGCCATTGCACTCCAGCCTGGGTAACATGAGTGAAACTCCGTCTCAAAAAAAAAAAAAAAAAAAAAAAAAGTTAGATACAAAGGGAACACACCTCAAAACAAGGTCATATATGACAAACCCACAACCAACATCACACTGAACGGGAAAAAGATGAAAGCTTTTCCTCTAAGATTTGTAACAAGACAAGGATGTCTACTTCCACTACTTTTATTCAACTAGAAGTGCTAATCAGTGCAATTAGGCAAGAGAAAAAAATAAAGGGCATCCAAATTGGACAGGAAAAAGTCAAACTGTCCCTAAAAGCAGGCTGGGTGTTGTGGTTCACACCTGTTAATCCCAGCACTTTGGGAGGCAAAGGAAGGAGGACTGCTTGAGCCCAGTAGTTTGAGACCAGCCAGGGCAACATGGCAACCCCCGTCTCTACAAAGAATACAAAAAAATCAGCTGGGCATGGTGGCGCATGCCTGTAGTCCCAGCTACTTGGGAGGCTGAGATGGAAGGGTTCTGTGAACCCGGGAGGTGGAGGTTGCTATGAGCGAAGATTGTGCCAGTGGACTACTCCAGCCTGGTTCTTCTCCCCTCTCCAAAAAAAAAAAAAAAAAAAAAAAAAAGAAAGTCGTAAAAGCGCCACTAGAAAATCAACATATAAAAATCAGTAGTGTATCTATATACCAACAATAAAATAGCAGAAAAAGAAATCAAGAAGGCAATCTCATTTACAATAGCCACAAATTAATGACCTAAGAATAAATTCAACCAAGGAGGTAAAAGATCTCTATGAGGAAAAATAGAAAACACTGATGTAAGAGAGTTTAGAGAAAAAATGGAAAGATATACCATGTTCACGGATTGGAAGAATATTGTGAAAATGCCCATATTACCAAAAATGATCTACATTCAATGCAATCCCTACCAAAATACCAATGGTATTCTTCACAGAAATACAAAAACAATCCTAAAATTCAAATGGAACTACAAAAGACCCCAGAGAGCCAAAATAATCCTGGGCAAAAAGGTATCACACTACTAGACTTCAAAATATAAGACAAAGCTATCATAACCATAACTGCATGCTACTGGCATAAAAAAACAGACCCACAGACCAATAGAACGGAATAGAGAACCCAGAAGGAAATCCATATATTTATAGCCAATTGTTTTTTTGACAAAAGTACCAAGAATATTCCTGGGGGTAGGGACAGTCTCTTCAATAAATGGTGCTGGGAAAACCTGATATACGTTATGTGGAAAAATAGAACTAGACCCCTAGCTCTCACCATATAAAAAAATCAACCCAAAATCGATTAAATACTTAAGTGTAAGACCCAAAACTATAAAACTACTAGAAGAAAACAGAGCAGAAATGCTTCAGGACATTGGTCTGGGCAAAAAATTCATGGAGACCTCAAAAGCACAGAAAACAAAAGCAAAAGCAGACAAACAGGATTATATTAAACTAAAAAGCTTCTGCACAACCAAGGACACAATGAATTGAATGAAGAGACAGTCTGCAGAATGGGAGAAAATATCTGCAAGCTATTAATCTGACAAAGGATTAATATCTAGAAAATACAAGAAAGAAAAAACTCAGCAGCAAAAAAACACAAATAATCTATTTTTAAAAAGGGGCAAATAAGCTGAATAGCTCTCAAAAGAAGACATACAAATGGCTAACCGAAGTTTTAAAATAATGGGCCTCTACAAAAGCTTTGAAGCCAAACTGCTGTAGACAGTTCTCACTGCTGCTTCCATGCTCCTTGTTTACAAGAAACTGATGGTTGCTATCTTCATAGTTATGGGGCTGAATAGTGCAAGCAAACACTGAGATGTCTTACAGTGAAAAGTCAGAACATGTTCAAGGTGGAGGATTTTCTTCTAAGTGAAGGGAAGTAATTTTCCTTTCACTCTGGCTCCTTCCATCACAAATTTCACCCTTATTGGCTTGAAAAGCACCTAAAGGTTAGCAGGCTAGACCTGTTGCCAACTTAAGTTTTATGATGCATGGTTAGTTTTTGGGGTAAAGGTTGAACTAGTTTGAAAAGAAAACATTATTGAAAATCACTAATAAACTGTCAGCACAAAAGAAAAGTCCATCAATCACTCAATCAACCAATCAGTCTGTTCAGACTCAGAGAGAGTTAAGGCCCATTAACTTGAGTAGCCTACCAATCCTATTCCCAGTCTTCACTCTGGGAGGTCATTGGCTCTATTAAAACACACATACAGAAGGCTCTGGGGGTGGGAATGATTACCAGTGTTAAATAGTTGGTTTCATTTAAATCTTCTCTTCCTTTCTCCCCATAGGCCAAAGATAAGGACCTAGCAGCTCTTGTAGAGAACATCTAACAAAGTGGCAAGTGTATCAGTGTTTTAACGGAGCCTATAGAGGCACATATATATTAGAAAGCAGAGGCTGGGCACAGTGGCTCATGCCACTTTGAGAGGCCAAGGCAGGAGGCTCACTTAAACCCAGGAGTTTGAGACCAGCCTGGACAATACTATCTCTACAAAAAACTAATAAATTACCCAGGCATGGTGGTGTATGCCTATAGTCCCAGCTACTCAGGCAGCTGAGGTTGGAGGATCACTTGAGCCTGACAGGTCAAGGCTGCAGTGAGCAGTGATTGCACCACTACACTCCAGCCTGGGCAACAGAGCGAGATCTTGTCAAAAACAAAAAACAAACAAAAAAACAGGCTGGGCACAGTCATAATCCCAGCACTTTGGGAGGCAGAGGAAGGCAGATCACGAGGTCAGGAGTTTGAAACCATCCTGGACAACTTAGTAAAATCCCGTCTCTACTAAAAAAATTGAGAAAGTTCGCTGGGCATGGTGGCAGATGCCTGTAACCCCAGCTACTTGGGAAGCTGCGGCAAGAAAATCATCCGAACCGGGGAGGTGGAGGTTGCAGTGAGCCGAGATCATGCCACTGCATTCCAGCCCGGATGACAGTGAGAGACTACGTCTCAGGGGGAGGAAAAAAAGCTGGATATCTAAAGCAAGGACTAAAAAGAGTTTATCTCCTTCCAGCCGATCATGGGCTTACTGTGTGATCTGGGGAAGTTCTTTTTTCCTAAGGCATTGTTCCCCTCACCTATTAGAAAATTACTCAAAGCAATATGGTAAATTGCAAACTTAAGTAGAAACCATGCCTTTTTCATCCCTGTTTCTTTAATGCCAAATTTGGCACTCAGTATATCACTTCATGGATGTTTATTAACGAATGAAAACTTCAAATAACTGTTAGTAATATACTAAAATAAAATGCTTTCTTTAGGTGTTATATAGCACAGCGACCAAAATAAAACTGGACTAGTTCATAGAAATATGCAGTCTGAGACTAAATGAGAGCTGTAATTGTCCCTCGGCCTGTGTTAAACCTGGGGGTTAATACTACCTAGGATTCAAAGCCCTTATCTGATTGGCAGGAAGCCTAACTCATCTGATTCAGGAGAGGGTTCTAAAAGCCCCAGATTATCAGTCAAATGACTCCGAAAAAAGCCTTAAGAAATGTTTCCCTTAAAGCCAAATATATGAGGATTTTCTCTTCCTTATTTAACCTCTACCTCCTTGTCTGTTAACTTTCATTCTTTGCTAGCCCACTTCCCATGTCCATTAAAGAAACGCTCTCTTTTGTTAGTAAACAAAGCTTACAAAGATGGTGCTTGTGGCAGAGTTGGTCTCAATTTCACTATCAGACAAAGTGCCCCGAGAGCTTGCCAGGTGAACACTGCCCTCGCCACCTGGTCCATCACCTGCATTGCTGCTCAAGTCACTGTCAGCTCCAAGGGTCTCTCCAGAACTATTACTCACCTGGAAAGGAAAAAACATAGTAAGAGATATTCCCCAGGGATGGGCCCCAGAAATGCCAAGCTGTTAGAGCTCCCTGCCACCATAAAAAAAGTATTAAATTTCAAAGGTGTGTCAGATAGCCTCTGGAAGTACCTTCTTTATAAGATGAGAAGCTCTGGGTGAAATCTCGTGTACACACACCTATGATGGTAAACATCTCCACCATGAGAACCATGCTGACCTGAGACTCAGAACAGCCTCCAAAGAGAAAGCAGCCCCCTTTTCCAAAGAGGAAATCCACACCCCACCCACCAAGATGCCAGTGTGGTGTTCCCCTACCACGGTGCTAACTTCAGAATCCTGACTTGAGCTGCGGATCATAACAGCTGGACTCACGCTGATGACAGAGTCTTGATCGGTCCTCTGAAACAAGACACAGGGACATTAGGGGAGGTATCCAATCTCCTCTCAGTCTCCCACAGAAATACTTTTTCTGTATTTTTTCGTTCTCCCCATCCCCACCCTTCTGTCATCATCCTTAGAGAAATGATGAGCAACTTTTTTCTAGAATATAAAATATGTACAACTTATATAATAAAAAAAGAATAGGCTGGGTGCAGTGGCTCATGCCTGTAGTCCTAGCACTTTGGGAGGCTGTGGTGGGAGGATCACTTGAGCCCAGGAACTGGAGACCGGCCTGGGCAACATGGTGAAACCTCATCTCTACAAAAATACACAAATTTAGCCAGGCATGTTGGTGGGCAACTGTGGTTCCAGCCACTCAAGAGGCTGAGGTGGGAGCATCACTTGAGCCCAGGAGGTTGAGACTATAGTGAGCTGAGATCACACCACTGCTCTCCAGTCCAAGCGCAAGAGTGAGACTGTGTCTCAGAAAAACAAAACAAAAAACAATGCATTAAAGTAGTACATGCTCACTGCAGAAAATACATGAAGAATAAGGAAATAAGAACCAGCTGTAAATCTACCACCCACCTTAAGCCCTTAGTATATTTCCTTTCAGTTTTTTGAAATACATTTAAAAAATAAAATTGGAATCACACTATATGTAGCTTTGTTAAACATTTTCCCATGTCACTAAATTTTTGAAAACACAGTCTTTAATGGATACTAACATTGCATTACATGGATCTATTATATTTATTTAGTAATCCACTTATCAGTAGATATTTATGTTGTTTTGAGGTAGTTTCTTTTTTTTGTTTTGTTTTCTTTCTTTTTGAGATGGAGTCCCACTCTGGCACAGGCTGGAGTACAGTGACATGATCTCAGCTCACTGCAACCTCTGCCTCCCAGGTTCAAGCAATTCTCCTGCCTCAGCCTCCCAAGTAGCTGGGATTACAGGCACATGTCACCACGCCCAGCTAATTTTTTGTATCTTCAGGCGAGATGGGTTTCACCATGTTGGCCAGGCTGGCCTCAAACTCCTACTCCTGACCTCAAGTGATCCACCTGCATCAGTCTCCCAAAGTGCTGGGATTACAGGTGTGAGCCTCCTCTTGGGGCCATTATTTTTTATAATTTTTGAGATGGAGTTTCACTCTTGTTGCCCAGGCTGGAGTGCAATGGTGCAATCTTGGCTCACCGTGACCTCCACCTCCCAGGTTCAAGTGTTTCTCCTGCCTCAGCCTCCTGAGTAGCTGGGATTACAGGCATGCACCACGACATCTGGCTAATTTTGTATTTTTAGTAGAGACAGGGTTTTACCATGTTGGTCAGGCGGGTCTCAAACTCCCAACCTCAGGTGATCCGCCCACCTCGGCCTCCCAAAGTGCTGGGATTACAGGCATGAGCCACGGCACCCAGCTATCTGGTCGCTTTTTTAATTTAAAGAAGTATTCTGAGATAGCATATTTAATCCTTGCAATTTTCAACAAGGTTCTTACAAACCTGGGAACTAGACGTCAGGCTCACGCCGCTGTCTGCGCTGATCTGGGACTTTTTCTCCTCTGTCTCACCAAGGTCAAAGACAGGTTTGATTACTTCAGGCCCTGAGTAGGGGAAGACTTCTGTTACTCAGTACACAAAGGCTAGGGGCAGGCTGGTAAAGAGGGTGGGACAGCAGCACGGGCTAGTCCCAGACTTGGTCAGCCCACTCCAGTCACATTTCCAAAGACTACCCCCCACTCAAGACCCACTGGAAAAAGAGGTCCCTAGATGCCTTAAGAACCAAGTAGGACAAATTAGAACTGGTCTCAATGAGTTCTGCAGCCATCTTCTCAACTTGAGAAAATTCTGAGCAAATCATCTTAAAACAGAAAAGTTTCACAAGGCCGGGTACGGTAGCTTATGCCTATAATCCCAGCACTTTGGAAGGCCAAGGCAGGTGGATCACCTGAGGTCAGGAGTTTGAGACCAGCCTGGCCAACATGATGAAACCCTGTCTCTACCAAAAAATACAAAAAGTAGCTGGGCATGGTGGTGCATGCCTGTAATCCCAGCTACTCGAGAGGCTGAGGCAGGAAAATTGCTTGAGCCCTGGAGGCAGAGGTTGCAGTAAGCCAGTATCACGCCACTGCACTCCAGCCTGGGCAACAGAGCAAGACTCCATCTCAAAAAAAAAAAAAAAGAAGAAAAGCTACACAAAAAAATGTCTAAACCACATTCCACAGCACTCAGAGTCTGAGCTTCACTGGTACCTGAGATCCTTGGATGTTCCCCAGGTCACTTAATGCTTCCCAAACAAATGTGTCTAAAAGAACCAGAAAAGGCTGGGTCTGATGAGATAAGAAAAACCAGCTGTTTTGGTAGGCATTGCCTATCCCCATCCTACAACTTCTACATTTGAGATAAAAACCATCTCTTTTCCCCCACCCACCCGCAATGGTATGGCAGAAGGACAGAATGACAGAAAGCAAGAAAGCGTGCCTAGGCAAGCCACCAGAGAGTTGGGCAGCTACAGACTCAACATGGAGGGACAGCAACCATCTCTGCCAACTGTGCCCACAGGCCTTCTAACAGGTGAGAGAGATATCAGCCAATGGGGGCCGCTAAAGTAAGTAAATGTCCTCCCCACCAACTCTGAAGCAACAGAGAACCAAGTTCTGGGGAGTTGTATGCAGCAGACACCTGGTTATAGCCTGATTGCCACGAGGGAGGGGGGAAGAAGCGGCCTCCATGCCACACACCTAGGAGTCACATGCTACCTACCTGCTGCCATTCCAAACACCCCCTAAGAGCAAATTTGGGGTGGGGCTGACAAAGGGAGCCTGCCCCAACTGGGCCTGGGGAGTTGGCAGGTATGGAAGACTTGGGAACAGGAAGGGGCATTTGTTCCTTACTCTGTTTTTCCAAAGCTTTTTGCTTTTTCACTTCCTGGTGCTTGTTCCACAATTCTACCCCAGATGCAATGCAAGCAGGAGAGAAAGACAGAGAGTCAGAGGCTGGTCAGACAGACGAAATGGAAACCCACCCACCCAAGTCGATTCAGTCACAGATACCACATTACCAACCAAGAGATACAAAGACATCTTCATAGGGAGAAGGGGCAGGAATCAAGAGAGCTAACCCTCCACCCAAACTCATGAACTACAGATTCCAAATTTCTAATTCCAACCCCAATGTGGCAGTAAAAACCCTACAGAATGTTAGAGCTGGAGGGGCCCTCGACAAGCTCCTTCATTTTTGCATGAGGAAACTGGCCCTAAAGAGGCTGGAGCACTTCATCAAGATCATGTAACTTAAGATCCATTTAAACGCCCATCATACCATGCTCTCTCTGCCAAATGAGCTGGGGAAGGGTAATTTTTACAGATTCCGGATGAGACAGACGAACACCTCAAGCAGCCAGAGTTTCAGAAGCACAAACACCAATCTGTTGGATTCACTGGACTGGACAGAGCCCAATTCATGCAGGCAGTTAGCATCCCTCCTCATTGCTCCTCAAGAAACCAACTCGCCCCCAGAGCCAGTGCCTGCCCTGCAACCAGTGATCTGGAGAAATGCCTCTAGTTGAAGTAACAGAGAACATAAAATGGTCAAGACCAGCATCTTCATAGGGGAAAGCAGACAGAATGGCAACCACAGCAATTCTTTTCCTGGAAGGAACATCCGAGTGTACTTAGTATGATCTCCTCTTTTCCCAGATGAAGAGACAGAGATCCTGAGAAGGGAAGTTATTTGCCCAAAGTTGCATACCTAGTTGGAGGCAGATATGGGACTGAAACTCCAGACTTCCAGACTGGCAGGTCCGTACTTTTTCTAAAATATTACATGAGGCAGGAGAAAGCCAGGAGTTGACTGCTACTAGAATAATATCCTGCTAGCTAGGGAAGTGCAGCTCCCCTAAAAAGGAATCTGGTTCCACGACGCTATTTATGGGAGCATAAGGCAACTGCTAATGGCCACGAAAAAGAGACATCAGCTGGAAGCAGAGTGCCCAGGGACTTAAAACCAGAAAAAGAAGGAAAGATCCAACCTCGAAGACTCAAGGTCAAGCGGGGAGTGAGTCAAACAGAGGTGATGCCCAGAAAGCCCACTAAGGCACTGGAGAAACACCGAATGTACACAAGGTTTTAATCAAGTCCAGTGAGGGAGGGTTTCAAGAAGAACTGACTCGAAAATGGATACCTCAAAGATCCAGAACCCAGGAAAATGGGGTTGCCAGACTTGCCCCAGAGGAGCACATTCCAAGGCAGTATAACAGCTGGAATAGGAGGACACTGGCTTCAGGGACACCAATGTTATGATTGTATAGCCCAAAGACGCATCTGTAAACTTCCTGAGCACTTCCAGGAATTCTCCCCACTATGTGAAGAAATGCAGATGTAAATAAAAAGCGCAGCCAGGAGTACAGCTCGGACGCCCTGCAGTAAGCCTCACTGGGCCTTCTAAACAAAATTTCCATTCTTCTAAGATACAGGGCAGGGAGTGGCTGTGGGTGAAGCAGAAGAACTAGAGAAGTACAACTAGAAATGGACAGAGGCCCTTCCCTCTCTAGGAAGCAAAGCATGGGGAAAGAGAAAGGCGGGATTCTGGATGAACTGAGGAGAGAGGGATATTTAAGCAGCCAGGACCCCTTCACCGTGACAAACACATGGATACATACCAATAGATGCTATAAAATTTTCTTCCTTTAAACTTCTGGTGTCCAGTTCCTTAGGACCCTTTCCTGTGGCACTGGGTGCCCGAGGTCCCAGCTGGGGAACTCTCAGCTGTGCCATGGCCTTTGGGTCCCCCCGCCCAGCTAGGCCAGGATCCTTGCCAACTGAGGTATTTACACTTTCTGTTGGACTTCTCTTCCGCTTGTCTGGTTCTGAGGGAAAAAAAAATCAAGAGGTCAAAAGAGGTAGTGAGTAGGAATCAAGGTACGGATATGAGGTGGGAGGAGCCAGTGTATAGGAGGATGTGGAATGGAAGAAGTTCAAGGAAAGATGAGCTGGCGTCTTAGTTTTAGTAACAAAAAACACCCACTACGTATAAACATGCACTAGAAAATGAAATCCCAAAGCCTGATGGGAAGCAGCGTGGCACTGGGAAACTTGTCCTGGGGACAAATACATTTTCTCTTCGGGAGACAAGTGGGAGAGGTGGGGATGGCGTGGTGCCCAGCAGGTACGATCCCTACCTTTACTATAGTAGTGGGTCTGGGCGATCTCCAGAAGCCCAAAGATGCTGGCCATGCCACCCAGACCCGCATGGGCATAGGACTGCTCCAGGCTGAGGACTGTGCACTTGAGGAGGTCTAACATTCCCTTGTACACCTTTCGACTGATCTCCTGCAACAGTAACCCAGGGGCTGGTATTGGCAAATTGCCTTTGGTGTTCACATCCCTCTCCCCAGTTACTCCGACTCCCTGCCCTCAACACTGACCACATCCGGGATGATGTCCTGCCGGGCATCGTCCTCTGACTGCACTGTGCGGTTCAGCTTGCTCAGGACAAAGACTCGCAACTGCTCGCTCTCCAGCAGCCGGCGCACCTTTTTCATGTTGAGCCAGCCAACTCCCTGGCCGTCCAGCACGCTGTGCACCACCTCCTTCAGAAACTGCTGGTTCTCACTACAGGGTCCACACACCGCTTCTGTGGTCATTAGCTCCTTTGCAGAGCAGACCCCCCCACTTTCACCCAAACTAAACGTCTGCCTCCAGGGGTAAAACACAAAGCCACATCTCTGAATGTCCAAGGCTACCACATTCCCCACCTCTCCAGAGAATCTGATTTACCCGAACACCCACCACTGCTGATTCACCCACCTCAAATGACAACCGTCAGCTGTCACTGTTGCATGGGGGTCGAGTCAGAATGAGAAGTGCTGCCAAGAAATTGATTACATCTACCCCACTGAGAGCTCCTCTCCCACTCTTGAGCATCCCTAAGGGTCTGTAAAGGAACTACCCACCTCTACCTGAGAACTTTTAAAAGAGCTCTGCCGTTTATTACCTAGAATTGCTGGATCGCCCCTGGGGTGATGGAGGTTCTCTTTTCACTGTTGGGCTGTGTTTAATGACAGACGACTTCTGATCCACTAACGCCCTCCTGTTTCCTGTGGTGGGGAGGCAAGAATGAGACACATCACTGCTTAGCTCAGGAGCTCATGCTAGCACATCCCTCAGTAGCCATGTTCCACGCCCGCTCCTCAGAAGGGCTGGGTGAGGGTGGTACCAAGGCATCACACGTAGGTAGAAACCAGCCATGGCAATGTGGAGGAGGTGGGGATGGAGACTCAGGCCACTCCACATGCACCAGCAGCACGCCCCATGGGAAAGCATGGGCGTCACGGGGGACGGGGCAAGTAGGTCACTCATGTGACACTGCTTGCTCCATGAGGAGGATGGCCCTTGGGCAGGCACAGAAGATGCTAGAGAAAAAAAAAAAAGATCATGCACAGCTCACAGGCAAGACCCACCTTCACCACTCCCGGGGCCGGCTTCAGTAACAATCTCCATTAGAGTATTTAGCCCAAATACTGGGACACAAAATACACAATTAGTAGGTGCACCACAATACCGCAACCCCTCTACCCCTCCGAGGAGCAGTAAGCCAGATAATCTGAGCATTCTCCCACAGCTTGAGGAATGCACATAACCTTGGTTCTTGACACCTCAGAGCTGGAAGCCAAGTGACCAGGAGACAACCAAGGCTCTAAGAAAAAACCATTCTTAAGACTGTCGCCTCTCAAAGCCAGGGGCAGGTAAATGACACAGGGAGCCTTCAGGTACTGAACACACACATGCATGAAAGAGGGACCGCTGGTTTTCAGAAAACATCCAGCACACAGGACCAGGGACCTGAGGGTATGCGCAGGGAAGCGACCATCTTGCAGATGCTATTGTGAGGAATGCGGTGGGGGTATGAGGATGGGAGGTGGGTGAGAGGTAAGTGCAGCAAATGCGACAAAGCGTCAGCATGCAATGAAAGAGTTTCAATCATCTTCTCTTCCAAGGTACCAAATGAAGGCCAGTGACACTGACACCTTTCCATCCCTAGCCTACCCAGCCACATGTGGATTCCCTGGCAGTGCTAGTTTGCTCCTTACACTACCAGCTCTGATGTCCCTTTGGCTATCGGTCTCATGTTCCCATCCCCACTAAAGAACATGCCTTAGACTCCTGGCCATTTTGTTTGTTTGTTTCTCTCTCTCTTTTTTTTTTTTTTTTTAGAGACAGGGGTTTCACTCTGTGGTCCAGGCTGGAGTGCAGTGGCCTAAATATAGCTCACTGTACCTCAAACTCCTAGGCTCAAGTGAACCTCCTGTCTCAGCCTACCAAGTAGCTAGGATGACAGGTGTGAGCTACTGCACCCAGCTAACCTGACATTTTTTTTTTTTTTTTTTTTTTTTGAGACAGAGTTTCACTCGTTACCCAGGCTGGAGTGCAATGGCGTGACCTCTGCCTCCTGGGTTCAGGCAATTCTCCTGCCTCAACCTCCTGAGTAGCTGGGATTACAGGCACGTGCCACCATGCCCAGCTAATGTTTTGTATTTTTAGTAGAAACGGGGTTTCACCATGTTGACCAGGATGGTCTCGATCATTTGGCCTCGTGATTCACCTGCCTGGGCATCCCAAAGTGCTGGGATTACAGGCTTGAGCCACCGCACCCGGCAAACCTGACATTTTTTACCACTGGGAATGAGAGGTCAGTTAAAGAACACATGGGGTTGCTTCTCATTGTACTTTCTTCCACAGTTAAATATTTCGGTACACCATCCAGAAAAAACAATGTCAAGCCGGGTGCTGTGGTTCACACCTGTAATCCTGGAACTTTGGGAGGCCGAGGTGGGCAGATCACTCAAGGTCAGGAGTTCAAGACCAGCCTGGCCAAACGTGGCCAAACCCCGTCTCAACTAAAAATACAAAAATTAGCCAGGCATGGTGGCGCATGCCTGTAATCTCAGCTACATGGGAGGCTGAAGCATGTGAATGGCCTGAGCCTGGATGACGGCAGTTACAGTGAGCCGAGACCACGACCCTGCACTCCAGCCTGGGTGATGGAGTGACACTCTTAGAAAAAAAAAATCAAAATCAGAAAATCCCCTGAAACTGTCAGATATCACAAACCAAATTCAAATAAGGTCTTAATTGTCCCTAGAAACTAACCAATACTACCTGGTGCACTCAAGAGGCCCTGGGTTGACATGAAGTCACGGTGAGAGGCTGCGCTCTATGAACATGCCAGGCTCTCCATGACCATTCTCTGGTGGGCTAGCTCCTTGGCATGGAGTTTGTCCTAAGTTCATGCGGTGGCAACCCAGCAGACAACTGGGGGTGGCTGATGACCCCATGTTAATCATGTAACCTGACAGGGTCCTCCCGAGAAGCAGCAGTAATCCCACAGTTGCCACTGACCTACATGACATAACAGGGACCTCTCTAGCTACGAAGACGGTTTCCATCTGACAACCAACGGAGCCCAGGATGTGCAGTGAAAGCCATGAGGGGCAACATGAGGGATGACAGCCAGGTCAAAGGATTCACCAGACGCAGGGCTCCTGACATGAACCCACAGGCCCAAAATATCTCCTGGAGAAACCTGGCTTGGCAAAAGGAAGGCTGTAGTTACCTTTCAGGCTGGGGAAGGGCGTGGCCTTCTCTCGGGCACCTTTGGTGGGCAGTGTGAGGTTTGAAAGACTGAAGCTGGTACTGTGGTTCCGATAGAGGCTGCCTATCAAGGGGAGGGTGCGAGAGCGATGACTTGGCAGAGTAAGTAATCAAAGCATTAGACTAATGACTATCAGCATCGGCACCTCCCTCCTTCTCAAGCACAATCCCGGTTTGGTGGATCAGATCACCTCTGATCTGTCTTAGAAAGGATCAAGTCTAACTCTAGGCAAACAATGGAGCCATTGCCAGGATCAGCCAAAACTCAGTAACAGCTTTCTCTGTCCACCCCACATAATATCCAAGTCTCTCATCTACTGCTGCACAGCAAGAAAGCTGGTAGTTAACAGGCTTCCAGTCTGAAGCTGGCACTGTCCCTCCTTGGCTGCTGAAGAAACTCATAATCACAGGGATCCTCTATACTGGCTCCCCCTAGTCCATGGTCAGTCTTCTCAATCTTTAACTGATACCACTCCACACTGCTGGAAATACTCTCTAAACACAAATATCAATCTCATATTGATTTCAAAGCACATTCATGGAAGAGTCCCTCATGAGGCAAAGAAGATGCTAGGTACAGAACCAAATCAAATTTGACCAGAATATTTCCACAAATAAAAGCACAAGTGTATGATTTTGAATTTACTGCCTATTTTCCAGCTGCCCATCCAGCTATCTTACCTGAAACAGGCTGAAATGTCCAGGCATAATGATAATGACTAATCGGTACCTGTCCTTTCCTAACCTCACTTGAAAACACCTTATTCGGTATCACCCAGATGACTGGATTAGGGCTTGTTAATGCTAACCCAGCCCTACACATGAAGTTCTAGGCAACATTTGCCATAGTAAGGCTCTGCTATAGAGAAAATGGAACACAGGAACGAAAGCGAGAGCTGAAGGCACTTACTGGCAAAAGACATGATGCCCCCGAAGCCCTCGGTGCTGGTGTTGGAGACGGTGGAGTTGGGAGAGCTTGCCCGAGAGTCTGACTCTGCATCGGAGTCACTTGCCAGTCTCAAGCTGTTGGGCCGCAGCAGCTTTTGAGCCCTTGAATGCACAGTGGCACCTATGAGCCCCACGCATGGGAACCTGACCTTGGGAGTATGGGCCTTACGCTACACTGTAGTCGTTGCTCCCTTCCCGTAATTCCTAAATCCCTGGATCAAAACACCACCCTGTGGGGATGGCAGGACCAGGACAGCATTCAGACTTCTCAGACTTTCTGATTAACCCTCGCCCAGGGTCCACTGAGGTGAGGTCCTTCAGTCACCCAACTAGAAGGGATCCCCAGGCTCTCACCGATTGCCATTGACATGTTGGCTGAATCGGGGAGTGTAACTTTCCCCCTGCTCATCCTCATCTTCCTCAGGGGGAAAGCCATATTGGGGCTCGAAGTATGGATTGTCATAGATTCGCCGGCGCACTGACCCCTCTCCAATTTCTGTCTGACGTCTGTCCACGTCCGACTTGCCAATGCTGGGAGGCATGGAAGGGAGGGGCTTGGAGACGCCTACTGCTGCCTTATCGTCCATCTCCGTAGAGTCAGCAGGTTCCTAAAGGCCACATGAAATTAAAAGTGGTTACCTGCTGCCCAATGGTACCTTCCTGTAATCCCAGTTTGGCAGGGCTGCGCCAGGCCTGTTGGATTCCCAGCCCAAGGAATGGGTGGGAAAAGATCTGAGTCACCCCGTTCTCTGTCCCCACAAACTATATAAGGGGGATCATAGGCGTACCCTGAAAAAAGCCTGATGACCTCCTTTTGGGGTCAAAACTAGGTCTCTTAGGCTGTAAGCTCTAGAGCCCATGAAAAGAAAGATGAGAAAATTGTGTGAGAAGAAGCTAATTAATTGCTACAGCCTGGCTTTCCTAATAGACGAGGCCCACATCCCAGGGAGTGGCTCTCACCCATCGCTCCTCACTTACAGAGTTGGCTCCATGAATAACGGTGCTGGGGCTGCTGCTGGCGGTGGTACTGGAGCTGGAGCGCAGTGGGGGGTTTTCCTGAGAGTTCTCACTGTCTGGGCCAGGCTCTTCCGCTTCCTTCTGGTTCTGCAACTCGTCAATCTCCACCTCGCTGGCATCCCCCAGTGCTGCATGCGTCAGAGGGTCCACATCTGCCAAAACCCAAGGAGGGCAGGTATAGACCACCCCATCCGTGGACCCCAACCCCTGCCCAGGGCTGGCCAATCTCCCCAAGCACACTTACTGGGAGTATCACCATTAATGTCACATTTCATCATTTCACTGACAAAGTCACCAAGGGAAGAGTAAGAAGAGCTTGAATCGTCATAATCCATACTATCACTGCCGCTGCAGGAGGGAGGCACACAAAAAACAAAACAGAAAGGGACAGGGAGAAGACCTGTCATCAGCACCAGGAAAACTAACAAGGGGGAGCACTCCGAACTCAAGGCCAGGGAACCAATCAAATAAGAAACCAAGAAAAACAGTCAACCAAAGCATAAAGACTGATATGGGGGCTGGGCACAGTAGCTCATACCTGTAATCCCAGGACTGGGAGGCTAAGGTGGGAGGATCACCTGAGGTCTGGAGTTTGAGACCAGCCTGGCCAACATGGTAAAACCCCATCTCTACTAAAAATACAAAAAGTAGCCAGGCACAGCTGGGAGCAGTGGCTCACACCTGTAATCCCAGCACTTTGGGAGGCCGACGGGGGCATATCACGAGGTCAGGAGATTGAAACCATCCTGGCTAACACAGTAAAACCCGTCTCTACTAAAAATACAAAAAATCAGCTGAGCGTGGTGGCACACACCTTTAGTCCCAGCTACTCAGGAGGTTGAGGCAGGAAAATTGCTCGAACCCAGGAGGCAGAGGCTGCAGTGAGCTGAGACTGAACCACTGCACTCCAGCCTGGGTAAGAGAGCAAGACTCTGTCTCGGAAAAAAAAAAAAAAAAAAGTAGCTGAGCACAGTGGCTCATGCCCATAATCCCAGCACTTTTGGAGACCAAGGCAGGCAAATCACTAGAGGTCAGGAGTTTGAGACCAGTCTGGCCAACATGGTGAAACCCTGTCCCTACTAAAAATACAGTAAATGGGCCGGGCGCGGTGGCTCAAGCCTGTAATCCCAGCACTTTGGGAGGCCGAGGCGGGTGGATCACGAGGTCAAGAGATCGAGACCATTCTGGTCAACATGGTGAAACCCCGTCTCTACTAAAAATACAAAAAAAAAAAAAAATTAGCTGGGCATGGTGGCACACGCCTGTAATCCCAGCTATTCAGGAGGCTGAGGCAGGAGAATTGCCTGAACCCAGGAGACGGAGGTTGCGGTGAGCCGAGATTGCGCCATTGCACTCCAGCCTGGGTAACAAGAGCGAAACTCTGTCTCAAAAAAAAAAATAAAAAAATAAAAAATACAGTAAATTAGCTGGACGTGGTGGCATGTGCCTATAATCCCAGCTACTCATGAGGCTGAGGCAGGAGAATCAATTGAACCCAGGAGGCGGAGGTTGCAGTGAGCTGAGATCGTGCCATTGCACTCCAGCTTGGGCGACAGAGTGAGACTCCATCTCAAAATATATACATATGCACACAAAAATTAGCCAGGTGAGGTGGCGGCACCTGTAGTCTCAATTACTCAGGAGGTGGAGGCAGGAGAATCGCTTGAACCTGGGAGGCAGAGGTTACAGTGAGCTAAGATCACACCACTGCACTCCAGCCTGGGCAAAAGAGTGGCAAGACTGTCACATACACACAAAAAAACTGATATGGGAAGCCTATGAGAGTTTACCTCCTCTGTGCTAAAGAAAGGCTAGTGAGAGCCTCTTCACCTTAAAAACCTGTCTGCTGCTCTGAGGATGCTCACCTATCATCAGTAGGTTCGGAGTCAGATTCCCGCTCTGGTGGTACACTCAGGGCCTCAGCCAGTTGGGAATTGCTGTCATAGACGCGATAGTGGATGGGCTGCAGCTGATGAGCATACCACTTTGGCTTGTCACCAATCAGGGCTGGATCAAACATACCTACCCCATGAGGGAAAAGAATAGAGAGTCAGCAGCAAGGAAGAAAAGGCAAGCAACACCTGAAAGAAAGGCAGGAAAAAGTCTAAGGCAGAGCAAGGATAGAAGGGAAAGGTCAAAGATTAGCAAAGGAAAAAGCAAAGTGCATCAGGAGGACAGACGCAGCAGGCAGAGTAAAGCAGAGCGGGGGGGCAGGTGGACTCACTGTTGTGAATTCGCTGGAAGGCATAGTTGGTGGGGTTAAGGATCCATTCCCCAAAGTACTCCACAGCCTGAGTCCTGGCCAATTTCTCGGCAAAAGGAGTCTGCCGGGGACGTGAGGCTAGAAAGGAGCCAGCTTGAAAAGCCACCACAGGCCGAGGGAAGAGGCGCAGGGTACGCGTGTGCATCTGAAACCCCTGCAGCACATTGGCAGAGTTGAAAAACCGTACCATGGCGACCCTGGGGAAGAAGGAGATGATGAGAAAATTCGAGGCCCATGTCCTGTAGGATAAGGATTCCCATGATTCAAAGTCTTAGAACACCTTCCAAAGCCATCATTTAACAGGCTTCCAACATCAAGGGGAGAGATAGCTTAAAGAATTATCAGCCCCCTCATCATCCTGAGCACATCGTTTACTATTTCTTCACTTTGCTTTTACTATGGTAGAAAATAACAACCAACTATGGTACATATTTTATATATACAGAAACCCTGGGCTGGGTGTGGTGGCTCATGCCTGTAATCCCAGCACTTTGGGAGGCCGAGGTGGGTTGATACCTGAAGTCAGGAGTTCAAGACCAGCCTGGCCAACATGGTGAAATGCCATCTCTACTAAAATTATAAAAATCAGCCGGACATGGTGGTGGGAATGTGTAATCCCAGCCACTCAGGAGGCTGAAGCAGTAGAATCGCTTGAACTCAGGAGATGGAAGCTGTAGTGGGCTGGGACTGTGCCACTGCACTGCAACAAGAGCGAGACTCCATCTCCCAAAAACAAAACGACAACCCTGGTTCAGGAAATAGTCTGCCCCAAGGTAACTGAGAGAGCAAAGAGATCAATTTAAGAACTCATGATTATACAGTCAGCTTGGTCTTACCTGGTTGCAACATCCACAGAATCCACATCATTGCCGTAGATGAGTGGGTTGAATTCAGTGGAAGGTGTGGACTGCAGGTCATTAGACGGCCTTCCCAAGAGAAGGGGGATCTCCTGGCCCTCATGAAATTTCTCCAGATTGAGGATGGGCTGGGTATTGAGACTCATGCTGGCCAAGGCCTGTAGAACAACAAGAAAATTCCTTATACAAGGCACGTTCCTGGGGAGCTAGCCAATCTCAACTCCAAGGAAAGAGCCTCCCTGAAGTCTTCTACCTCCTATTCTCTGGTCAAAAAGTTCTACAACAAAGAACAGTGCTAATTTGCAAATCATGGTTAACCTGCTTCAGACCTTTCATCCCTGAAATAAAAGTCCAAATATTTCAGCCTTTAGAAAACAGTCTGAACTGGCTGGGCACCGTGGCTCATGCCTGTAATCCCAGCATTTTGGGAGGCCAAGACGGGTGGATCACCTGAGGTCAGGAGTTCGCGACCAGCCTGACCAATATGATGAACCTCCGTCTCTACTAAGAAGACAAAAATTAGCCGAGCATGGTGGCATGCACCTTTAATCCCAGTTACTAGGGAGGCTGAGACAGGACAATCGCGTGAACCCGGGAGGCGGAGGTTGCAGTGAGCCGAGATGGCACCACTGCACTCCAGCCTGAGCAACAAGAGTGAAACTCCGTCTCAAAAAAAGAAAACAGTCTGAACTATGTAGCTCTCCATCTTAAGACAACCTAGCTGAAGGCAACCTGATCATATCTGAAGTTCAGGACAGTAGTTTTCAAAATTATTAGTCATTGTCCGGGCGCAGCAGCTCACACCTGTAATCCCAGCATTTTGGGAGGCCAAGGTGGACGGATCATGAGGTCAGGAGTTCGAGACCAGCCTAACCAACATGGTGAAACCCTGTCTCTACTAAAAAAAATACAAAAATTAGCCAGGCATGGTGGCACGTGCCTGTAATCCCAGCTACTCAGGAGGCTGAGGCAGGAGAAGCTCTTGAACCCGGGAGGTGGAGCTGAGATCACACCACTGCACCCCTGCCTGGGCGACAGAGCAACACTCCATCCCCCCCCCAAAAAATTATTAGTCATTAAATGTTTTTCAAAATTGGAATCTATGTGAAAATACATAGAATGGATTTTGAAAACAGCTGCCCTGAAGGACACAGAAAGCAGAGCCTTACATGCTCAGGGCTTCCAAGCTAAATTAGCCCCTCAAAGACTCCATGGGGCAGGGTAAAGACCACTGGTCAACAGCAGCAGTGCATCTCAAATGTGACTGAGGTGAGGAATCACCCGGGGAGGTTGTTAAAATGCATATCCCCATTCAATTTGCCTGGGGTGATCCTGCAGTTTAACAAGCCCAGGTGATACTAATTTTGCCGGTCCACAAACCACACTTTTAATAGCAGGGGTTAGAACACAGGATCGATGAGTTCAAGGATCTTAGCTCCTACACACATTTAAAATATAATTCTAGCCGGGTGCAGTGGCTCACATTTGTAACCCCAGTACTTTGCGAGGCCGACGTGAGCGGATCACCTGAAGTCAGGACTTCAATAACAGACTGGCCAACATGGTGAAACCCCATCTCCACTGAAAATACTAACAAATTAGCTGGGCATGGTGCTGTGTGCCTGTAATCCCAGCTACCTGGGAAGCTAAGGCAAGAGATTCTTTTGAACCCGGGAGGTAGAGGTTGCAGTGATCTGCGATCATGCCACTGCACCCCAGCCTGGTGACAAAGCAGGACTCCATCTCAAAATAAATAAATATAATTCCATATATTAACTTTTCCATCGCATTAGTCATACTAAAGCTATGATCAAGACTGAAAACACAGCAAGTAAAGGCAGCTAGAGAGCTTTCTGAACTTACAATTCCTACCAGACTCTGTAGTAACAAGGTATCATATCAGCAGTGATAAAGCAACTGAGGTGAGAGGAATGATACAAAATAATGCGTTTAAACCCAAACACAGCATTTAGAGGCACTACTGAGTACTTCAGACAACACAGAAAAAGGTTTCTACTGGCCCTTTAATTGAGCAGGGATTTCTAAAAATAAACACAGTAGTATCTACTGGAGGTCCTACACAACACAGTAGGCAGGGGAAGGGAATGAAGCTTTGTCACGTGTTACCTTCAGGTACTGTGTTCAGCATGCAGAGGAAGAAGAAAATCAATCAATAAAAAATGGATGTGAGACATTACTCAAAGAAAAGAATTTTTTTGTTTTGTTTTTTAGACAGAGTCTCGCTCAGTTGCCCAGGCTAGCGTGCAGTGTTGTGATCTCAGCTCGCTGCAACCTCCACCTCCCAGGTTCAAGTAATTCTCCTGCCTCAGCCTCCCGAGTAGCTGGGACTACAGGTACCTGCCACCACAGCTGGCTAATTTTTGTATTTTTAGTAGAGACCGGGTTTTGCCATATTGGCCAGGCTGGTCTCAAACTCCTGACCTTGTGATCTACCCGCCCTGGCCTCCCAAAGTGCTGGGATTACAGACAGGTGTGAGCCACCACACCCAGCCAAAGAAAGGAATTTTTGAAGAAAGGAACCTCAGGACCAATTCTAGAAGATGATATAAGAGTAGCCAGACAGTCCACACTAACACCCACCTAACGAGATGGAGAAAATGTTCTGAGGCCACAGACAGCGGCACACACATACAAGAAACAGAAAGTGGAGGGCTATTTTATACAGCATCATAAGCATTAGAAGATGGTAAGGCATACAATGAATTGGAATCAGAAACACTCTGAGATTCACTCTTCCATCCAGCATGGGATAAACCTTTTCTTAAGCCCATTCAGGGAGAAGAATATCTATGCCACTTGAAGTTTGACAGGAAGCTGGCTCTGAGAATAGCTGTCTTCCGATAGCAATCCCCTTTCTTTCCTTCATTCTTCACCTACCTGCTTTAAATGCTTTTTCAGCTCTAATGATTCTGGTTCTGGCAGGATAGGCAGCACTTCCGCATTGGTGGGGGCAATCACCTGCACCGGAGAAATGATAAAAGATGTGGCCTTAGAATTTATTGCTCAGGAATTTCACTTATATAAGAGTAAATAAGATGTATATACAATATTATTATACAAATGAACACCCATTATATAACTGCACAATAAGATATATATACACACACATATATGATATACACACCCATCTGAAAAGAAATATACTTAAATACTATTGGTTATTATCTCTAGATAACAGAATTATGGTTTTTCTTTTCACTTATTTTATTTACACTTTTTTTTTTTTAAGTTTTACAATGAACACACATAACGGCTTCCCACCCAAGTTTGAATGTACTCACACTGTAGAATGTTCATATAATTCATTAAGTCTGCACTGAAAGACAGTTTCTTACTGGAAACTATACCCCAGGGAAACCATTAAGAGATGATCTATACCACATGTAATGGTACTTAGATCACAACTGCCCGACTGCTCTTGGAGAATACAGGGTGGGGGGCACTTAATTCTGGAAAAAATAAAACCTGTAATTCTCTGAGACCTAACCAAGGGCTTATTTGGCCAAAAAGGTAAAAGGAGCATTTTAAAAAAAAACTGTTTAAAAAAAACTATTTGAATAAGTCTCACAAAAGAAACTATCTAACAACCTAGGACCTTCCTAAAAGGAATCAAGAAAAACAGATATCCCAGGATCAGTCTAGAATGCAATCCTGCTGTAGATTCTGCAGTGCCTCAGCAAGGAGCCTCACCCTGTTGCTGTCCAGATCCACTAGCCATACGTCATCAGGCATTTTGAAGTCCAGTTTGTAGAGGAAAAAGCTGGCAGGAACCCCAATGATGTATGGGGTTGGAGCCAACAGCAGCTGTGAAAACGATAAAGAAGGTGAGAAAAGTCAGGATTCTTCCAGATAAGGATATGCAGATACAATCCCTCTTCCAAAACCCTTGAGGCCAGATGTATTTGAAAATTCCGAATTTTTCAGATTCTTTGAAAGGTAATATGGTGCATTGTTTTGTATACAGTAGTCTTCCTTATCCACAATTTCACTTTGTTATTCCAGTTACCTGAGACACTCTGCACTCTGAAAATATTAAATGGAGATTTTTAGAAATAAACAATTCATAAATTAAAAACTGCAGCTTGATCATATCTGAAGTCGAAGACAATAGTTTTGAGAAGCATGATGAAATCTCATGCTGTCCTGCTCTGTCCCAACGGGATGTGAATCATCCCTGTATCCAGCATATCCATGCTGTATATGCAACCCGCCTGTAGCCATCTCGGTTGTCAGAGTTTGTGTTAAAGTAACCTTTATTTTACTTAACAATGGCCCCAAAGCACAAGAGTACTGATGCTAGCAATTGGGATACACCAAAGAGAAGCCAAATATATGCCCACAGAGGCCGGAAGCAGTGACTTACCCCTGTAATCCCAGCACTTTGGGAAGCTGAGACAGGAAGTTGATTAACTAAGGTCAAGAGTTCAAGACCAGCCTGGCCAACATGGTGAAACCCCACCTCTACTAAAAATTAGCCAAGCATGGTGGCGGTGCCTGTAATCCCAGCTACTCAGGAGGCTGAGGCAGGAGAATCACTTGAACCCAGGCGGTGGAGATTGCAGTGAGCCGAGATTAGGCCACTGCACTCTAGTCTGGGTGACAGACGGAGACTCTGTCTCCAAAAAACCCCAAACATATGCCCAAAGAGAAGTTGTTAACCTCTTGCTGTGCCTTAACTAAAGTGTATCATTGCTATGTACGTATAGATAAAAACTATCTGTGGTTTGAGGCATCCGCTGGGGGGTCTTGGAATGTATCCTCCACAGATAAGAAGGAACTACTGTATTATGTAACACCTGCAGCAGGGTAGCCAGTAGCCTATAGTCATTAACATTTATTGTGATAAATAAAAACTACAAATAGCATTAAGTTTTGCCACCAGATCAGTTCAAATCAGTCAGATTTTGCAGATAAGTAAGTGATGATAAAGGATTGAGAACCAGCACTGACTTGCAACTTTTTTGGGCATTGGGTCTCTTCCTTCAGGAAGACAGAAGTGACAAAGCCAGAAGACGCCTTGAGACTCACCTGCTCTGCTGATGCCATGCAGGTGGGAAGCAACGGGATGACAGGAAACATATACTCCAGTGGGTAGATCATTGCCACGAATGCCATCACAGACATGGAGAGTGCATTGTAGTCTCGGGACTGCAGCACCACCTGTCATGACCCATCCAGTAAGAATCACTCCAAAACATAAAATAAGGTTTACAAAAAAATGGCTTCCAACATTACAATTTGGTTTCCACCTCACCATGCCTACAGCTCCAGCTTTGTGTCTCCCACTGCCCCCTGCCCCACCACGCCTGCCACGTCCCAACCCAGGCACAATGGTGATCCTCCCTCACCTGAAATATGTAAATCACTCCCTTACCTTCCTAGTTCTTGTACTGCCCATCCCAGGACCACTCACTGAAACAGAACTACTGATATTTCCAAAGAATTAGATCAGTACAGTTAAAGATAAGCCCTATGAATGGTAAATCCTCTGAATACATCCCATATGATACCAGTATCTTAATTCAACCCACATCTAAGGAATAACTGCTGTATACCAGGCATCATGTTACCTCCTGAAGACAAAAAGATGAAAAAGATATAGTCCCTGTCCTCCAAGAGCTTATGGTCTGGCCACTGGCATATCTAAGAATTCCTCCCCTAGAAAGGTCTAGGAAACTTGCCTCTCACCTTGTGCTCTAACAGAATGCAGGTTAGCACCTGGAGACAGGCGTCTACACCCAGAAGTTCCAAGGGAAGGTGCAATGGGAAGTCCACTAGGGTGAATCGAGATGGGTCTGGAAGAGCAAAGGTCAGGGCTGGCTGAAGCTCCTTGGGTAGGACTTCAATGTCTACTCGCTTCTGCCCAGAGACGGGTACTGGGGAACGCAGCAATCGATAAATCCAGGCCTCAATCTCTCGAAGATCATGCAGAAGGGCACTTGACTTCTCTTCCACCAGCAGCGATCCAGTAAAGATCCGCCACATGGTGTCCCTGAGAAGCAGACAGCAGGAATCAGACACATTAGCATCAGGAACTGCAACCCAGTATCACCACAGAGGCTGTAACGATGACAACAGGAAAAGGAGCATCATTAGGAAAGCCCAGTCTCTTGAGCTCAGATAGAACCAGAAGGTGTATACAATGGCAAGAACAAGTATGAAAATATACACTGGGTAAGACTTATTGTTCTGACCACCATTAAACATCAAATTCTTCAGCATTACTCCAAACACAATTTTGGAAGGAGGTCTAACTCTGCAGCAGTCTTTTGCTTAGTAAAGATTAACTCTTAGCTGGGCAAGGTGGCTCAGGCCTGTAATCCCAGCACTTCGGGAGGTCAAGGCGAGTGGACCACCTGAGGTCAGGCGTTTGAGACCCGCCTGGCCAACATGGTGAAACCCCATCTCTACTAAAAATACTAAAATTAGCTGAGCATGGTGGTGCACACCTGTAATCCCAGCTACTCGGGAGGTTAAGGCAGAAGGATCACTTGAACCCAGGAGGCAGAGGCTGCAGTGAGCTGGGATCGTACCACTGCACTCCAGCCTGGGCAACAGAGCGAGACTCTGTCTCTAAAAAAAAAAAAAAAAGCTATATATATCTTTTTATCTAAATATGCTTAAATAGGTCTGAAGGACCTTGAGTTGTAGAGGAAACTTCCTATGTCCCTCAAAGGTCAACTACATGGAATCTCTAAACGCTTCCCCTCTATTGGGCATTAGCAGCAAGCTGTACCTTTGTACGCCTCGAGGGATGCCCAGTTTCTTGCCCAGCAGGCGCTCGCTACAGCAGTCCACCAGACGCTTGAGGGTATACAGACATTCTCGGAAGGTGGAGAAGAAAGGGTAGTGACTGAGCACGCACAGGGACGTGAGAGTGCTGTTTCGGGAGCGACTCCCCGCCTTGGCCCGGCGTTTGCCCCGAGGAGACTGGTTCATGTTGGGGGTGGAGTCGGCACTGGGAGGCTGCAGAGATGAGCCGCTCTCTGAAGTCTCGGTGCCACCCTCTTCTGAGGCACAGGTGGCACGGGTTCCTTCCTTCCCACGGGACCCTGCCCCACCTTCCCCCTTCTCCTTAGGGATTCGCTTTTGGAAAGAGCGGTAGAAGTTAACACAGATGCCGTATCGCGTGACTCCAGTGTCCTTGTCAGTGAGGGTGAAGACGAAAGAGGTATCATCCCGAAGGCTCATGCGCCGCTGCCGCACGCTCAGGCAGCCCTCAGGCTGGCAGAAAAACACTACATCTGGGGGCAGGGGAAACTCAGCATGGTCCTCTAACGGGTATCGCCGTAGCAATTCAGGAGTCTGGGCCACACTATCACTGCTCGGGTGCCTGAAGAACATAAAGACAAATTCAGCAGCCTAAAGGGATGGAATGGGCTATCACATTTTAACCACAGCCAACAAATAAAGCTCAAGATGCTATCTGGGATAAAGTAACCGAACTGAAACACCTTGGAAAACATGGGTGCTGCCTGCCACATAGAGCTGCTGGCTAAGAGAAGTCTGTACTGTCATGAAGGCACTATTCTGAAACAAAGGGGAGATTTCAGCAATACAAATATCACTAACACCTCAAGATGATTAACATCTTTTAAAGTGAATTAGCTAATAAATTACCAAAAGAGCATACATAGAGAAGGAACTTATAATGTACTTCTCCTTTTTACAAAACAAGAAAACTGACGAATAAAGAGTATGTTTGCTCGACATCAGGAAGATGTTAAGAGAAGGGTTTTGCTTTCAATGCACCTGACTATGCTGTTTTCCCTATGGGCTCCAATGCTCCCAACGGGGTAAAACAACAGGGGAAGATGAGCTATACAAAGCAGCGTGGAAAACAGAACGGGGAATAACTGCAAGTTTTTTGACTATCCCAGATGTTAAGACAAAAGTAAATTTCTTGATTACCTGGCCCCTACGATCACTAAATAGTCAAGTAACCGAGGACAGAACTTCTTCTTTTGCACCATGGTTCCAATTCATCAGTTCATCTCAGAGAAGCATCTGGGCACCAAGCAAGGAGTCAGCATTCCCAGGAGGAATTCTGAAAACTAAAGTCTAATAGGAAAAAAGTACTGATAAGATCCACTGCTGCGCCTAAGGGACTCATCCCTCTCAACTTCTTCCCCACCAGGGGCAGAGGTTAGAAGGTCTTCTGCTTTCATACTAATGGTAGGAGAACTCGACACGTGCCTAGCCTTGTGTCTAAGCTTCTGAGCTCACAATTAAATGTCAAGAAGCAGATAGGCCAGGCATAATGGCTCACGCTATGCCATCTAATCCCAGCACTTTGGGAGGCCAAGGCGGGGGGGATCACCTAAGGTCAGGAGTTCAAGGCCAGCCTGGCCAACATGGCAAAGCCCCATCTCTACTAAAAATACAAAAAAATTAGGCAGGTGTGGTGGAGCATGCCTGTAATCTTAGCTACTTGTGAGGCTGAGGCACGAGAATCGCTTGAACCCAGGAGACAGAGGCTGCAGTGAGCTGAGATTGCACCACTGCACTCCAGCCTGGGTGACAGGGTGAGACTCCATTACCAAAAAAAAAAAAAAAAAAGTATATAAATAATGGCTCACCTACCTGTCCCTACCAACAACTTCATTTTCAGCTTAACCCTTGGGACTCTGTTTCTGAAAAAGACCCTAGGCCATCTAATCTGGACTCAGTCACTTAGCCATTATGAAAACAAAAATTGAAGTCACTCTCAGGACCCCTCCAGGGTGGATCAGGATCAAACCAGATTCCTTAACCAGCACCCATCTGCACTTCTAGGTCTAGAAGGAAAGCTAATTATTCTGTTTCAACAAAATGCATTCAGCTTAATGTGAAACTACCATATAGACTGTCTAGTTAGCTGTGCTCAGACAATAACAACAGCTGGCTATTCTATCTCACGTGATTGCAAATGAAAATGTCCATGCCCCAACTGCCTCATCTGAACCACTTTTCTCCCCTTTTCAGGCAAGAAAGGAGCCCAGAGGCTACTGCTGCTAGCTCTGCCCTTGGTGCTGAATCATAGCCTTTCTACTCTATTCTAATCTCAGGCTCAGAATCAGTAATCCAATACATATAGATGAGTCCTTGTCCTACTATACATTACGGAGGCCATGAATTAGAGGCAGAAATACTAGAGTTTCTGCAAGGACAGGGAGAGGTGCTCAGAGAAATGTCTAAACTATGTTCTAAAATTAGGAAAAGCTTTCATGGTCTTAATTATAATTTATTTCCTGTTAAGTGTCTATACACTTCTCTAAATAAAACATTTTACCCCACTGCAGGGCTATTTCTAGCAGGGCTATTTCTTCTATAAGCAGAAGTTCTTTTCTCATATTCCTAGTGTTCCAGGATTCTACCTCTGTGCTCTGCATGTGGCCTTACTAAGACCTTGTTCATTGCACACAGAGAGACTCCCATCACAGTATACACATACATACACACACCCACCCCCTACTCCCTCACCTGCTGCTGTGGGCACTCCCATATATACAGACATACACACTCCCTGGATGCTTAAGGCCCTACCCTGGTTCAGGTAATGAGTAGAAGTTCTTTCTTCTCCTCTACCTAATGACAAACAAGACTTATTTACAATACCTCTCAAATCCTCAAAATACTGCTTCCTCTTTTCCTGAGCTCCCAATAGAGGACCTGCAGGTAATAGGATTCAGTCTTATCTCCATAGCGACTCTGGCTCCCAGCTCTATTTATAGCAGAGCCACAGCCCCTCCCCTGCTTGGTGACCGCACAGTGCTAGCAGCTGCTACTCCAGAGTCGGCCAAGGCCCACAACAATTCATTCTCCTTGAACCTAGAGACACCTCTCCCACTGACAGTACCTGCTAAGAACTAGGTTATCTTCTTCCTCAACTGTCAGTAGTTCCTACTTTGCCCTAATTCTGGCTTTTGATAGTGATATCTCTACACCACCAGGTTTCCGAGCACACCATATATTCATTTCTAGGCATCACCACTGCTTAAGGAACCCAAACAGTCCCTTGGTTCTCCCAACTGCAACAGAGTCGTGAGCAAACTGCAGGAGGTGGGGCACCATAACAGAGCTGCGCTCAGCTCCTCCTGAGCAGAGTGCAACGGGGAGAAAAATAGAGAAATGAAATAGACTATAGGTAAAAAGCATACTTTGTTCTAATAAAGAATTACGTAGTTAATCTGTCACAGGATTAAAAAAAAATTATGTAGAGATGACTAGAGTGAAAGCCAAAGTATCTTAAAGTAAAACAGAATTTACAGAAGACCACCTCTAGGCTAAACCTTGCAATCTGGGTTTACATTGAAAACCAGGAGCCCTCTCCAGCCAAAATCTCAAAGATCAGGCCTGAAGCACCTCCTACTAAGACAGTATGCGTCAGGCCTCTCTGGCCTTGGTGGGATCTCAGCCCCTCTCCATTGAGAACTATCTGATGAAACTAATGTCTTTCACAGTCCTCATCTCCTTCCAGAGCCACAAGGACCCTGAGATCTTATTATTCTAGCTATGGGTGGTAGGAAAGATTTTGAGCCAAAATTCATATCTGATCAGCAGCCACTGCGTTCAGATTCAGATTGCAAAGATAACTAAGATTTCTTCTTCTCATTCTCTCCTCTCCCCTCCCCACAAAGACTAACACCTCTAACTCCTCTAACATCACCCACAACAAACACTCTGTCTTCACAACCAACGAGGCTCAGACTCTGCTTCTTGCCTCAACCACATTTACTAACATAGAGCCTCTAGCTCCTATCTTCATGCATTCCAAAAGCATCAAGCTCAAAATGCATACTTATCTGCTGAAGTCCGACATCACCATCCGCTCCACCCAGAGGTAGATTTAGGATTCACAAACTTTTAGGTTACCTATGCCTTTTCAGCCAAAATGACCATGCTAACCAACCCTTTGGATTAGTCCCTCGTTTTGTACAGGATCTCATAGTAAAACCACAGGAACCAGAGAGCGATATGACATCTCTGCTGACGTGAGCAAAACAGCAGGCTCTCCTCCCCTCTTTTCCCTCCCCAGGCAGTGACCTTGCAAGCTCATCAGCACAGACTGGTCCAGCGTGGGGGAGAACTGGAGCAAAGAGGCTGGCAGCTGGCAGGGTTAGGGAAGAGGGTAGGGCAGGGAAAGGTGGAAGAAGGTAGATGATACACACGAGGATGGGGAGGAGAGCGTCTGCAGAAAGATGAAATGGTGTTTTCACTCTCCAGGAAGTCAATTTTGAAACAACAAATTTAAAAAGAAAAACATTTTTTTTTTTTTTTAGAATCAAACGTGGTTCTCCAAATTCTAGCCAAAAATAAGGCTCACGCGAGCAAACGCACACGCGTACCTGCCAAGTGCTGTGCGAGCTCGGGCCCCGTGGCTGGCCAGCTCTGCCCGCCCCCTCACCTGCTGGACAGTTCTCTCCCGCCCCCGCCCCAACCCGAACCCGAACCCGAACCCGAACCCGAACCCGAACCCGCGCCGCCCGCCCAGCAGAAACCGAGCCCCGCAGCCCGAACCCCTTCTTCGGCCCGGGCGCCCCCAGCCCCGCCCCCTCCTCCGCGGACCCCCGTCCCACGCCCTTTCACACTCCCGCGGGGCATCCTCAGAGACCCCCCTTCCTCCAACAGCCGCGGTGTCCTCTAAGAGCCCATCTCCCGCTCGGAGTCCCCAAACGCTCGCCCAGGACCCCCACCGGCCCGGACTCTCCTACCTCCCGAGGTCCAGGGGACTGGCCAGGCCAGGCCCGATGTCCCCCGCGCGGCGCCTTTCCGAGCGGGCGCCAGTTCCGCGTCTGCACCTGGGGGCGCGCACCACTAGCGCAGGGTGCGGGCGGAGGGGGAGCCGGGGCAGGGCCGTACCATTCAGCCCGGGGGGTCGGGGCTGCGCGAAGCCGAGCGCCGCGGGGTGGGACCGACCTCGGGAGACAGCGGCTGCGCACACACCTAGCCGGGCGCCCGTGGGCGCGGGAGGGCGCGCCGGGCCGGCCCAGCGCCGACGCGTGCCAAGGGGAGGACATACAGCCGTACCTTCTGTTTGGGTTGCTCAGAGAGACTTTCGCCTTACGGGGTCATAGCGCCTGTTTCGACAAATTGTGGATTCCTCTGAAAGTGACTTCCCAAGATAGTCGACCCCTGAGACTTCCTGAGGGCCTCCCCATCCTCCAGCTCCCCCCCTCACGCGTTTTGGCGGTGTCCGGCGCCCGGGCTGGGAAGCCGGCTGTAGCGCGGTGGAGCCTACCAATCCTGGGCGACTGGGGCGCCGCGGGGCGCGCGGCCGCGGTTACCTCCACCGCGTGCGCGCCAGGAGGGGGCGTGGCAGCGCCGCGGCGCCCGCTGGGAGATGGAGTCCAGTCCCTTCCCGAGGCCAGCCAGCTGCAGGACAGCCTCCTTGCGGCCGCACGGCTCTTCTCCTCATGCCACGGGGTCTGGGTGCCGAAACTGGGCACTGGGTCTTTCAGGTTGTGTCTTTTTCATATGCCAAAGGAAAAACTAAGGCATGCTACACACGCACGTGAAGTGCACCCTGAGGTCTTAGCTCTGAAATACAACACTTCCTACTCCCCCGCAGAAAGGCTGCGGGATCCCACCTGGATCCCAGCAGCGGAAGGGCGTGCCTAAGCCTCTGCATTCCATTTACCCATATGGCATAGTGGGGGTTAGTAAGAAGAGGCCCTGTCTCACGACCAAGGTTGTCACTTGGGACTCTCCTTCCTCTGGTCTTGGAGGTGGATCCTAAAGATCGAAGGCTTCCCCCTCTACTGCCGTGTCCCCACCCCCAAACCAGAAATTGGCTTCTCTCATTTTGTATTCATTTTGATCTTCCTGTTCAAACAGTACCAGACCTATCAGTGAGGCGGCCCTGAGGCATTTATGGCCATACCACAGAGTGACAGTGGAGAATTTTTCTTGGGGCCTTGTGGGGAAAACAGGAAGTGGTGGAGGCAGGATGGGCAGGGCCCAGGAGAACCTTGTGCAAAGTGGCCCCCAGGCC